TATATATATATACACACACACACACACACACACATACACAGCCAGTTATAAAGACGTGCAGAGGATCCTGGGAGGTTGGAGGAGGTTGGGGGGGGCTGGGCTGCTGTCGTTCTGTTGGTGGCCCATTTATCATATCTCCGCCCTCCGGCTCTCAGCTCCATGAGGGCGGCTCTTTAAATGGCCCCACGACTCCCCCCGGCTCGCGCCTTTTTCCCCCTTTATGTGCAGGAGACGAGACGCACGTGCTATTTATAAGACTCCGTCGGAATAAACCGCTCGAGCTGCAGGTAAATAATGTTCCTCCTTCTACAAGTCTGCTTCTCTGGTGTGTGTGTGTGTGAGTGAGTGAGTGTGTGTGTGTGTGTGTGTACCGCTGCATGAGCTGGTTTAAAGGGGCGGGCTGCGCGCTGTGTGACGAATAAAAAGCTGGAGCCTATAGATCAGTGCGAGGCTTTTTAACCGGGTATAACCAGTCAGCCTTAAAGGAAACATCTTCAACCACAGGGACCGAGCTGTGAAGGTGAGTGAGGGGAAACTGCTCGATCACAGCCGGACTGTTGTTTCACTTCAGCTCCGGAGAGAGGAGGCTGCACGCGTTAAACATGAAGCCGTCTTTTGTTGCCTTGGCTCGGGCTCTCGTCGCCGCAAATGAACCCGACCACCTCGCTGCTTGCATGCATTTCAGCAGCCTCTTATTTTTTAAATACAGAGCCACCGTGCAGAGGAGGGTGATTTTCTCAAAGTGCATTTTCCCACCGAGCAACACACCAGCCTCTGTGTGTGTCTGTGTGTGTGTCGGTAGATGTGTCTCTGTGGCCCCGGCGTGCAGGCCCCGATGCTCGGTCACAGTGGAGGGAGAGGGGGCCTCTGATCACGGTCGTTGCGGGGAAGGGAGCGTCGGGTTCAGTCGTCTTGTGCAGATTTGCTCGGCCTGTGACCGCCCACTGAGCCTCGGCCACAACCACCGTCTGTGCAGCGCAGCCACAAATAGATCTGGAAATAAGAAGCACGGATTAATCGAGTTTTAACGCGGTACCGGTGCACGGTTCTCCCGGGTCGTCGAGTTTAACAGCATTGTGTGAATGTATGTGTGTGTGTGCGCGCATGCAAACAAACCCTGACTGGTGTGATTTACTCCCTCAGGTGTGAAAAGCGACGCAAACATGAGCGACAAGGGGACAGTTTCACCTAAAGAGGAAACAGAGAAGAGGGGGCGTGGAAGACCCCGCAAGCAGCCCCAGGTGAAAACCTCTGACGTAAGTACTCCCCTCTCTACCTTCAGCTGGTGTCATCTGAGGTGTGACATCAGATCCAGTGGCTCACATCTGTTGCAGCTGGATGCTCTTCACAATCTATACTGCTCCTCTGCCCTGATGGAAGCCAGGTCTCTGCACAGAGGCCTGGTGATGATCCGCTCTTATCATCTACTACAAACTTCCTGTGCTCGTCAGCAAACCTGTAACCCAACACCCTTTTTTTTTAAGGAACCGGTTTTAACCCACACATTCACGACATTCATCAGCTCGTCATGTAATGGATGACAAGCACACTCTGGCTCGTATGGCCGCCACTCTGCGCGTTAGGATTGAATTGCTCGGTTGCTATGAGCTGTAGTTGTAAACAAACGAGAAAGGGAACAGGAGATGAGTCTGCCATGATGTGGCATCCGACCGCAGGTTATCATATGAACGTTTACCTGTGCACGCTGAAAGTAACTGGTGCTGGTGATATATATTTCCATCTGTTGGTGTTAATGTTCAGCTTTGTTGACATTTCATGGAGCTATATTCTTGATGTGAGATCATGGCAACCCGTGGCCCTGTCAGTCTCAGTACACATCAGTTGTGTTGACCTTAAAAAACAGACTTTACCTCCACCGGAGTCTTGTGTATCAGTGTCGATATTAGTGTGGAGGAAGTGACAGTCACCAAATCACCCAAAACAGATTCAAAGTCAAGTGTATACATATGAAATATCCTGTGTTGTGGTGCGCTAACTTTTATTTCTCTGATTGTCAGGAACCAAGTGGGTCCCCAACTCCAAAGAGGCCCAGAGGACGACCAAAGGGCAGCAAAAACAAGTCATCGAGCAAGGGCAAAGTAAGTCAACGCTGTGTACAGGAGTGATTTCAACAGCAGCGAACATGCATCCCACACCAGATGACGCCAATGCCAAGAAAGATACACATACACACATACAGACATTGCACATACCAGTTGTCGTCCCATCTTCCCCTGCAAGCGTTTCCTTTTCGAAACCCCTCGATTCCTTTCGGTTGATAAAAATTTTAACGGTAGCGAACCTCGTCGTCTTAAAAGGATGTCCTGCTCTTACTTGTGATATATTGCTTGGCTGCTTCCCCTCGTGGTGTCAGAAATAGCCTGGCTTGGGTTTCCCATTGTAAAGACCTTGGTTTAATGCATTACTTTTTGGGGGGGGGGGGGTGCTAGGCCTGTACTTCCTGTCCTCCAGCTTCCTGCAGCTTGTCATGCACAGTGCAGGTGCAGAGGCCGCAAGACTGTTTCCAGGCTGACACTAAGCACCCCTCCGCCCCCACCCAGCACACAGCCCTAGTTCTTCTCTGCCTGTCGTCTCCATAGCAACGACTGATTTTCTCCCTAGCCCCAACCCTCCAGCTCCCCCGTGCACTCTTGTCTTCACTGCCGTGCACGGGAAAGGGAGCGAGAGATAGCGGGAGAGGGTAGAAGATATGTACGATCGTGTACGATACAGGTTTAGCAGAGAGGGCCGAGCTGCGGAGGGGTTTGTGTCTCTCCTCGGTTCCACCAGCTGTCTCTGAGCCTCAGACCAGGTGGCCAGCGAACTGGAGTGCCCTGTGTGCAGTTCCTGTTGGCCTTCCAGATAATAGCCAATGAACCCAGTGCCCCCTCTTCCATCTGTGTCATTGCAGAGGTGCTACTGCCACCTGCAGGCAGCTCGAGGCACAGGAAAGCTGGATCGTTCACACCACAGTGTTTTTGCACTGATCCGCCCTCGTCCCCATAAACCCTTTACCGAGCAGGAAGATCACAGTGCAATGCATCTTGGAACCCCCCTGTTAACTTGATGCTGTTTTATTCGACAGAAGGCGACGGCAGCCCCATCTGCAGGAGGAAAACGCAGGGGAAGACCCAAGAAGGAGGTAAGACGTGACTCCTCAAACAAACAGTGCAACATCAGTGCTCCATCTGTGAAACCACTCCTCCTCCCAATTCAATTATGATTGGTATGAGTGTCTGCAGGGCGAAATTGCATTTTCCTAATTCCCCAGCCCGCCTCCTTCCTCTCTGACAAGTCGTTTCTACTCATCACAGCCATTTTAGTTCTTGCAGCCTTTAAAGTCTCTACCTGGTTTTGTTGAGAGGCCAATCTGACAATTTATCACTAAACCCTCGGTCCAAAGGTGACATTATTGACAGCTTGAATATTATTCATTTTTTTGGAGCTGTGAAATAACTTGCCAGCTGCACATAAAGGCACGTTTAAGGAATTGTGGTCATGTAGTAACATTCTGTCATGAGTGGTCAGGGCGTGCTCTTAAAGAGGTCTGTGTTGCATTAGTCACAGAAAGGAATGACCCAAAGTTACCCCTTTAACTAGCCCTCCTCGTTTTTATGAATGAACATCTTTGGCAGCAGAGTGAGGAGGGAGCAAAATGCAGGATGCCTCGCTGTGACTCACCAATCCTATGAATCACTTTTCACTACAGATGGCTCACCCTTCCCCTGGGTGTTCGTCACGCCACTGCACTTTATCGGGAGATGTTTTTTTTATTACATCTACGGCACATGAAACATTTTCCACATGGTTGTAGTTGACGTCTGACTCGTTTTCTTCATCTTGCAGGAGAAGGAAGAAAAAGCGTCCCAGGAATCATCTGAGGCGGAAGAGGAAGAGGACCAGTAATTCACAACGCATGCTACCTCACTCAACATACTGACTTACTGTTAACCAGAACTGGGCTGTATCTCCAACACCAGTGCCACCACATGACCACTGTTCACGACAGAGCCCCCTTTGCCAAAAGGAGGCTTAACACAGTACATAATCATGCAACAGCACTGGATAGAACGATGGACCTTGCTCAAGCATAGATCTAAGAATTACATGAAAGGTAACAGCCCTTTTCTCTACATGTCATGCTATCACAAGTCTTTTATACTGGACAAAGGTGTGCTCCACAGAGCCTGGATGTTTCTGTTTCCCATAAAAGATGGTTTGTAGGACATTTTCTCTGCTCAACGTTACCTATTTGTTGTTCCCGCATCTGAGATGGTAGGGCATATAGATTTTTCTCCATGTTTTGTACTGGACAAAGGTGAATTTTACCTATACTTGTTTGTTTTTTTTCTTTTGTGTGTTCATGTGAAATGGTTAACCATTGCATCATGTCTATAGATGGAGTTGAGCTTCAGCTTTTAGGATGAGAATAGGTAACTGGTGGTGTTTTTCTTTTTCCACCCCTCTTCCCATGTCTAATCGACATAACAGACTTCACCTCATCGTCTCACCAGTAGAGCAGAATCATTGTCACCACCGCCCCCCCCCTCCTCGGTTTAGATTTAGATATGCTTCTTCCTTCTCGGTACTCGGCGTGTAGAGGGGAGATGTTTCATTACTAATCAGAATAGTCTGATCAGACTTACTGTTTTTGTTCCTTCGGGTTACTTACCGTTTAAAGACAAAAAAAACATGAGTGTGCTGCTTTTCATGTCATAATAAAAATCAAACTATATGGTATAACGTGTGTTTTTAAGGATAGGATAGGGTAACTTGGCAGAGGCTGAAAGCATCAGCGTTGTTTCTTCAGGGAGCTTTTACAAAATGCTGTTACATTGGTCCTCAGTTTCCACGCGCCCGCTCAATCACTCGAGGCAGACACGCAGAGGATTGTAATGGAGGATAGTTGGTGGCACTGCTATCCAACAGGGCTGAACGTTTTCATTCCACGTAGCACTCACTGCTTCACCTAGGGTTGGTCTTTCTGTCAAAACTTAGTATTGTTAAAATATACTTTTCTTAGTCTTTTTTGAAGATGTGTGTTGTATGACATCGGCTAAAGAAAATAAAATGTTTGAGTATTTCTAAGTGTCAGGGAACCCGCGGTCACAGTCCACTTAAACTGGGTTTTTCCATACACCTAAGCTGCTACAACCTCAGTTACGAAACCCGGAAAACTGCAAACAGGCGATACACGGCCTGGATTTCATACCTCACTCAACAGCTTACTTTACCATATAATTGCATTTAACTGGTTTTCTGTTGTTTTTAAATGTAACCTCTGGCATGAGATGGAAAGATGTCGTTATTACAAAGTTTGTGTAACTTACTTTTTTTTTTTTTCCTGACTGTTATAAGGTAACTTTTTTTTTTAGATGTCAACCGTGCGATTGTGTTCAAACACAAAAACATGTCTTGGCTCGTGCAGACAGGTTGTTTTTAAAGCAAGTCAGGGAGACCTGTCAGCTTGACAACTGTGTTCGCTGACTGTGGTAGATTAGCAGGTGTGTTTTTATCCTTTTGAAAAGTTTTTTTCTTCTGGTGCACTGAAATGTTGGTTCTGATTTTCATGGACAAATGTTTGTGTGTTTGTGATAGACAGGGCGCTCTTTCCACTTTACTGTTCTGTTGGACATTTGTGTGTTTGGCACAGCCGCCCTCACCGTACTCGTACAACGGTCATGGTTCACGTCATTTTTTTTCAGCATCCTCCAAATACTCTTGACAATATCGGTGTCGTTCTACATACCGACATCTTGCATCCGTTCATTTATATACCGTAAAACTCAACAGGATGGGATCATTCTTTTTAATGTACACCGTATATAAATGTACAATGTCTATATTTCTATGGTGCCCTACAACAATTTGTATCAGAAATGGTCAATAAAGAGAATTTTCTTTGTCAATTCTTTCTGTCGTGTTGTTTTGTATCAACCTAAAAAGAAAACATCCACCCAATTTTTTTGTTTTTATTTACATCTTCAACATTTTAAATCAGTCTCATCTCGTCACTTAAAGCAACAACAGTCTGAAAAGTCATCTCGTATCTTTGCTGCTATTCACAGTCAACAGTTACATCAGTAGTTCTTTGAGTCTTTGACCTGAAATCAGAGCCATCCATGAAAGTTCACAGCGTGTGTGAATGAAAATCACATGATCTATCATTTGTTCTGTCTAAACTGTGAATGGTCAATTTCACCTTTAACATTTTATGTGAAAAAATCCTTATATGCATATAAAATGAACAATGAAATGTAAATATGAGCAGTTTGCACCAAGGAGCATGTTCTGGGGGTAAAGTTGGTTTCCTGCAAAATCATCCCCAAGCTTTCGTACGAGCTCATTCTGAAGTACACGGATCACAAGTTCAGAGCATAAGCCGACCAAGTCCAATGCATGAGTTGATATTCCCCCGTCACGGAAAGTGTAACAGTTCTATTGTTCTCAGGTGTACATTCACAGATGCATGGCAAACAAAGGTCAGGAGAGGTTACAGCTCACTGAGGAAAAAAAAAAAAAAAGACTGAGGTTTTCCTGAGTCAGACCTATGGTGTTCATTCAAACAGATTCTTCTGGTGCCATGCCTCATGGACAGGACATTTTTAGGGCACTAGTCACAACTCATTTTGGAGCTGAGAGGATATTGGTGTTATTTATTCACATACCTCTTCGTGCCTTTGATAGGAGTCATAGGACTTTAGCTCAACCAAAAAAGGGTGGGATCATCTGGTGAGCAAATTAAAACAGGACGTGATCAACCTTGAGACTCAAAGTGAAACAGAAAATGTATCAAACCTAAGTCAACAGCAAACTCTAAAGCTTTGAAGTTAAGTCTTTTTGGAAATGGTATTACAGTGATTCATGTCAACAAACATGACTAACTGAAAACCAACAGTGTTTTTAAAGCAATGTAAACCACCTCTACACAACAACCAGTCCAGGCCATGATACCACACCCGACACAGCAGGAGGGATTTGTTTAACTAGTGCAGAACATTCATACTCTAACCACAACCTTTAAAACACAGTGAGAACAAATCCCTACTGCCACCCACAGGAATCCGGTTCTTTACACACGCACGCCACCTTTCTTCACTCTCAAGTCTTGTCTCTGAACACCACAGTAAAATAAAGGTTGAATAAATAATTTCAAATAAATAAGTTTAAGGTACAGCGTCTCGTAGGCACATGAGTTAGCATCAGAGCCTCCGTCACTATGTGCCCAGCGAGGAAAAAGCTGACTCTTGGATGATGTACTCAAAGATGGCTCCAGACGGTGGTAAAGAAAAGCAAACCAAAGTATTGTGCACGACTAAAAATGACAGAAGGCCGTCTCCACACCGCCGAATGTTTGATGCCACGGTTCACTGCAATCATGCGTTGACATCTTTGGTCAGGAGAGGGCGCCGCTGTTGATAACTTTTAGCCCAACCTTGAACAATCTGAGGACATGAAATGTAAAAAGAATTAGTTCAGTTCAGCGCAACCATAACACGAGCATGTCGGGGGGGCATGTGCAAAGCTGTTGTGACAGTGATAAAGGGTCAATCCACCTAACACACACACACACACACACACACACACACCACTTATACCTACTGGTATTAATCTGAGGATTCAAAAAAATGATGCCCAAATATACTAACTCAAAACACACCCCTTACTTCGGGAACCAATCAGCAGACGTCACTATGAACTCTTCATCGGAACTACTTTCTATGAAAGAAATAGTCCCAATGAAAACAGTTGTATTCTGTGAATTATCCTCAGAACCCGACAGAGAGACGTCGTCTCTGAAGTTTTTTGCACCACAAATTAAATTAAATTCACTTCCTGTTTGGGATCAGCAGAAATCTAAGCCTCACAAGATAAAAGCAGCTGCTAGTTTCAACTATACCCATTTAATAACAGCCTCCTAAATCAATGCATAACTTGATTAATGTCACAAGTATTTTGTAAAACATAATGAGCTGCATAGCCCCGTTAATATTGCCACCTAGTGTTTCCCATGGTTCAGTGCATTTTTTTTTAACCCAAATCAGCCAGTTCTGTAATTGAATTGAAAAGTGTCTTTGCTGCCACGACCACCTAATTTTATTCCAGCCATTTGAAAACTGGAGTTTTTGTACCAATAATTGTGTGTGACAACAAAACTTTGTATTATGTGAAGACAATAACTTAAAACAAGTCACTAACTGCACATAGGTCTGCACATAAAAAGGGAAATGCAATATTTCTACCATACTACTACTATTTGTAGAGATGTTGCAATGTGTGAGAGGAAGCATGAGGAAAGAGGAACTACTGTTTTGTTCCAGTGAACGATGAGACAAAGACTGAAACAAGGAAACTGTCTTTGTAAAGATTGTGGTCAGACGATCATACACAACAGGAAATACAACTTTCTCCAAATTATTTTGACACAGAAAAAGCTAATCCTTGTTGTTTCCATCTGATTTCATTAAAAAAAACCTTTCCCAGGTTAAAAAAAAAAAAGTATAGGAGAAGAAAACACTCTTTAAGTTTGAAAACCAAATGCTGCGTCATACCCGTGTGTCCTCTTCTTTCCACAACATTTCTTGTTCGGCTTCATTAAGCTCCTCTGAAGGATCATACGTGTAAACTGGTAACAGCTGATGACGGAGTCTGTCAATCCTGAGGGACACAAATCAAGGAAATCAAACAAACGTGTAACGACCTGCGATGAGTAACGCAATCATGTTTCCAACTAAAGCACTGTGTGATGAAATCAATGTGTAGATTAAAAGACTTACCTTCTCTTCTTTCGGATATACATGACCTGACAGAGACAAAATGAATTGTGTGAGTTGATAATGTTCTTTATCACAATCAATATCACATTTGTCAGCTTTATTCACCAGGTATCTGTAAAAGTACTGGGAACGTCACTACGGTGAAGACATACAGTGAATCACAGACTACGAAACAAGCCCAAAAATAACATGCTCAAACAAATATGGATTATTACTAACGTACGTGTGAGTTATAAACATTGAACATATGTTGCGTTGCACCTCATGAAGATTACACTATGAGAATTATTCATGTTCGTTTTACTGGCCAGTCCAACCACTTACCACAGCCGCAGCTATCCCAATGATGGTGATGAGGAAAAATGGCACCAACACATAGCTGACTGCCACATCCCCATCGATGGCGGGGGACTGAGTGGTGCTGTTCATTGCATATGTTCAGGACAGGGTTGGGGGGACACGGGGACACGGGGACACGTGGGGCTGCAGCAGACCCCCTCCCAGTGGCGGACACTGTGCAGCTGTTTGCTCCTCAGGCTGCCCCCTTGTTGTTTACGCCTCATCCTCGTCGCTCATGTGACTCCCACATGGTCTCACCGCCCTCCCCCAATCAGCGAGAAATCTGAGGGAATGACAGGAATGTGCACAGAGGACAGACTGTCAGGGGATTCACAGAAACAGGTCAGCGGAGGGTGCGAGCGAGTTTGAGAGAGAGAGAGAGAGCTGTCAGACTGGCAGCCATCATTCAAACCTCTGACTCACTGTCACACAGCAGTTTGTGTTGTTAGCGAACCGACTCTCCTGCTGCTCCTCCCCGGTTCACCTCTTTACTCCAGTGAGGCTACAACCACCGATCAGAAAACACCCACACTGGCATCTGGGAACTTTCCCATCGACGAGCTCCGCGTTAACGCGCCAGCGGACCGAGCTACATAAACATAGCAGCAGCAGCTAGCATCGCCCAGTGACGCAGCCAGCGAGTTGTTCTGCACCGCACACCAGCCGATTCTCCCCCGGGCCGGGTTCCCTGCTGCGGGGAAGCGTCGGTGAACTGTCGGTTGAGGCGTCAGTGACGTGTCAGCGAAGTGTCAGTGAAGTGTCGGTGAAGTGTCGCTCACCTTGCGATGAGCAGAGTCGACCAGCGAGATGATGAGAGTCACAGGAAGAAGCTCATCGTCCAGCTCCGGCAGCAGCGACACCACGTCCTGTCCCGGCCCTTCACAATAAAAGACACAACGCAGAACTACGGAAGCTCGATGAGTTCATATTAAAAAAAACCCGCAGTAATAAAAAACCAGCCAGCAGATGCAGCTTCTTTATATTGTTTTATTTTGTTGGCTTGGATCAGCTGTTGCTCTGTTTTTACTGTTTTTACCACATGACCACAAGACAGACCCATGTAGTTGTTAGTGGAGAGTGACATGAGCGTTAGTAGTACAACAATACTATCCGGATACTATACTAGAAATACCATGAAATACTAGAAATACTCTATTATAGAAACTCTTATAACAGAAATGTCTTCACAGCAGCTTCAGTGTCACACTACATTGGAATCATTTAGTTTGAAAACATCAGTAGTTTTTGTGTATTACAAATATGATGATATTGTGTTGAATTGTTTAAATGTTTGCATATATCAGTATGTAAAATCAAATCAAAAATTCTTTATTGTTCCCACGGGGGACGTTTCTTGGGCCAAAGGTCCACAGCAGCTGCAGAACAGTACATTGTGTAACAGCAACAAAACAACAGTACTCAAGAACATGTCACGCGAGACCCAGAACAATAAAGAAGAATAAAAGTGAGTGTTATATTGCATCTGCCCTGAAACCTCTTAAAAAGATTTTAAAGAACACTAAAAGAATATAACACATGTCATAAAAACATTTCTTGTCTTCAGTCAGAGAAGAGAAATGCATGTCATCCTCTCTTCACTGTGTTTATCTCATAGTTTTTGTGTTGTTGGTTCATCGCCACAAGATGTCACTACCCTCCAGTGTGTTAACAAGGAACGTTTGTTAGATAAATCAACAACACAATTTAATGTGCTTTATATAAAAAGTAAAAGGAATCGTTTCAAATAGTAAAAGCAACTTAACAAATTAAAAGAAATTGAAAAGTTTTACAAAGAGAGTAAAAACATAAAAAATAAGTAAGAGATGAAAGAGTAAACGTGACAGTGTAGGAATGTAGTAATTATTAGATTTATTAAATGTATATTTAATAAATCTAAAACAGTAGATCACAGTATAGGCATTACATGAAATAAAAGATAGGATTGTAATTTCAGTTTATTAGAAACTTTAATATAGTTCAAGTAATGTAAGTGAGTATTACATAGTGGCATTGTGTGTGTGTGTGTGTGTGTGTGTGTGTTATTGAATATATGTGTTGTTGTGTGATGTAGAGTGATCAAATAAAAAGTCTATATTTTGATGCTGCTTTCATTAAATCATTGGCACAACATTTATTGAGTCAGACCAAAAGTAGCTCAATGCTATTAATCTGCTTCAAGGCATTTTCTCCTCCACGAATCTCGCCTCCACAGAACCAGACACCTCGTGTCCTCACCCTGCCTGTGTTGGATGTTCGAGTGGCTTCGACACGTAGCTCCACTGACGTATGAAAGGACCAGAACAGAGATGTTTGGTGATTCCTAACTTCAGTGTTTCTGATGGATTATATAATTTCCTGTGTTTGGCCACATTTCAGAAGTGTTGTGATTGCACCGGTCCATAAAGCACAAAGGCAGATGGTGTTATGTCTAATTGTTTGTGCATTTAATACAAAGTGCACTCAAAAGGGAAGGGTAATGGAAAGAGGCTGCACTGTGAGCGTGCCCTGCCGAGTGATATGGTATTTGTGCACAAAACAGCACACATGACATTTCTCTGCCATCTGTTCATTTTGCCAATAAAGACACAAGTTTAATAGCATATTATGAAATGATGAAGAGCTCTAAATTGAATCTTATCTGCTTCTTTGACACAGTAGGAGCCAAAATATGCATTTAGTATTTGGTGTTTCTGGATATTATCAGCCCTGATAAATGACTACTTAGGTGTGGTTTGAGATCAGTTTCCTGATCACTTGTAATGTGGGATTGAGACAAGAAAGTAGAAGAATATTGTCTGCTGACCTCACATCTTGCTCTGCTGTTTAAAAATGCATCAGTTTACAGCCTTCATACATCTGCCTCACTGTAATAACCTGTGAAGTGTACAGAGACAACGTTTTCATCTACACAACTCACTTCACTTCTGACGCACTGATTAAACTCATCAAATGAACAAGCTTTTTTATTTTGGGATTTTAATGTCAATGAAATTCTGACATTGTTGAGATACATAACTTAACACATCTGGATATTTTTACTGATTCCCTAGAGAAGATTCTCAACAAGATTTTCAAGCATCCGGCATATTCAGTGAACTGATTTGTGCAGTTTGGTGCAGCTTATTTGAATTTAATGCGACTATTGGGCCTTCCCAGAGACAAGCGCTCCGCCCAGTGCCGTTCTCGTTAATGTATTTTGTCTTTTAGAGAAACATTTTAAACAGCAGGTGAAAATACTTTCCTTATATGTGCTTGGAACAGTGTGTATATATATAATATGACTTGTTGGGCAGCCAGAGGACAAAAACACCACCTCCCCTGCAGTGTAGTGCAATGTGGACGTGATTGACAATAAAAGAGGGGACGCCCACTCTTACCACCCCTCTCTCCTCATTGGTTGGAAAGTGGAAGTCACATTTGGGACCCCCCTCCCCCCATTACAGAAACTCCCATATAGTTTCAGATATTAATTATTCTCTATATTTTAAAAAAAACAACACCTTCCAATATCTGGTGTGCATGTTTATACAGCAGAAAATATAAAAAATTATTCACACTCATATATCAAGCTGATGAAAACTTAAAACTCCAAAGGACCCACTCGCACCTGCACATGTGGACACATCTGGCAAAGCTCCCCTATAAGCTCATGTGGTTAATGTTGTGAGGATTTAAAAGCAGTTTCCCAGCAGCGTTAGCTCAGCCTCTCTCTCTCCCCCTGCAGCTCTGTCGTCCATTGAAAGGAAATCGCTGGGCCATCCCCCCGACGCGCGCCTGTGCCGTGGAGCTCCCCCTCGCTGCGCGCATCGTGATCTGGTGGATGCAGAGACTTGCAGAGAACGCAGGGTCACCTTCTGTCGCTGCAAGGGGAAATACTGAATGATTTGCAGCGCACTTCTCTCGGGCAGTAAGTGAAGCTCGGCGGCTGCAGCATCATCTCTGGTGAGTCCGATCTGTGTATGTGTGTGTTTTTGGATGAGGAGAAGCTCAGCATCCTTTTAGCATAAGGGCGACGCAGGGATGAAGAAACCTCGCATCATTTCCCATCGTTTGATTAATGTCTCTGCTGCATGCGAGACCCACCGAGTACTACAGATTACTACAGATTCACCAGCAGCACCGTGGCTGCTCTCAATCATGCATGCGTCATTTTATCTGATGTACCGCTGTTTGCATATGCGCCAAGGGTGAAGAGAACCATCTTGCATCATCCCGAGGATTAATATCAGAGGCTTCAGCTTCTCAACGAAACTAAATGAATGAACCGTTTAGTTTGGTTTTGCACTAATGCTTTTACTTCCTCTGGATGATGCAGGGTGTTGTTCCCCCCCCCCCTCCCATTTATCCCCTCGACGAGCAAATTTGACCTCAGCATCCAAATCCTATGCAGCTTGTTTACTCGCACAACCTATTCTATGCAGAAAGCCCAGCACAGAAATGACAGCAGGCTGTTGCTAGGTAAAGGGCACCACAGTGGATGGAGGTGGTGGCAAAGGCTGAGATGAAGGATTGCCATTTTATGTTCGCTGCCATGCGCCAAATGGGTAAACAACACTGGGAATATGAACCATACGTCGAGCAATTATGTCGTAACCATGCGCACTTTTATGCTTTTCATCGATACGGGCGCAGTGAGCAGGAGTCAGGAATCGCCTCGTTGTGTATGTGTGAGTGTTTCTCGGTGAAATGGACGCGAATGTTAATGAGAGCACTCAGCTCTGACGTTATGTAATTGGTTGTCACAGCAGAGCGATGAGCCATCTCCACCGTCACTGTGTTGTTTTTTTTCCACGAACAGAGGAGGAGCATCCTTGTCTTCTTCATGGGATTAGGTGCATGTGGTCGTTTAATCATTCATCAAATCTGCTCCCCAGCTGAAATGCATCCAGGCTTTCAGCTGACTGAAGGATCACACTGAGCCACATTTGCAGCAGAGATGTTGTGGTGGTGGGTGATGATGATGATGATGAAGAGGAGGAGGAGGAGGAGGATGGTGGTTGTGATGGAGGCTGGGGCATCACTCCTCTAAACCATGCCGCTCCTGTCCTCTAAAAACATCCCTGTAAACATGCCGCCTCTCTCCACAGCTCTGTTTGTGTTTATATGTTAGTGTTGCTCTGTGTGATGGAGGTGACGTTCAGCAGGCGACAGCTCCTGATCACTGGGCTGGTTTGTTCTGAGCTGAATCCACAGTTTGCTGAAGAGCACGTCTGTCAGCGGCCAAGGTGCCCCCAAGAGAGCCTGACACATGCAGGGCTGCAGAGAGGAGACGATGATACATCCACTGGGACGGGGACGGGGAGGTGGGGGGGTAATCCAATTGTGTCGCGGAGACGAGAGTTAAAGAGTACCTCCTATTTATTAGCAGACTCCTCACTCCTCACTGTGCAGCCAAGTCAAAAGTGTCTCACCAGGAACTCCTTCACATTTTAACCGGAGGCAGAAGTTTTTTTGGCTCGTTTATCTTCAAAGAAATAAGTAGCTGTGATCTCTTCCCTCAAGTTGTGGCCTGGAGTAGTTTTTCTCCCTGCTCATTTCATTTGGAGGATTTCACGAGGAGTAAGAGGAGAAATATTTTGTATTTGGCTGAAAAAAACATCGGAGTAAACATCATTTTGTGTTGCAGTAGTAGTAATTTATTTATTTATTTATTTTCTCTCTTAACCATTTATCTTGAGATTTACCCCCAAACTGGGAACCACAGATCAGTTTAATTGGGCCTAGATTCTGAGTCATAAGTATGATTACTGATAGTTTGGTACCATCTGACGTGTGATTGTGTAGACAGGGCAGGTGTAATAAGATGTCGCTTCGGCCTACATGTTTTTGTCTACACATACCTACTGTAAATATAAATGTATATATATCGCTATATTTATTATTTATTATCTATTACTTTATTGTTGTGTACCACATTTTTTGTAAAATACACAACAGTATGTGGACCAAAATAAAAAGAATGAATGGAAAATTGTCTCAACAAATCTCTCCTATAAATAAATCAAACATTTGCCAATTAAGTCCTTTAAAAGTCTGAAAATGAAAAGTATGAAATATAAAATCTATCTGTTACTTTTTTCTGTTTTGTTTATTGGAGAACTTCGTACATTTCGTAGCTTATTGTCTTTAATTCTTGAATTCAAATATTGGCAGAAATAGTTTGGTATCGAAACTATTACAAAAGTGATTCAACAGCATCGCTGCTGTTAAACTTCCTGCTCTGACGTGTCTCTGTGAGTCTGTGTGTGCTTGTCTGAGTCCTTGAGAGACAAAGAGCTATTAATTAAGTCACAAACTATTCATCCCTTCTCCTTTGAGATGGCTGTTTCATTTCTAAAGCCACACGTTTGTCCTCCCTGACTTCCTGTCGTGCCTGCAAGTGTATCTGCGGTACCGTTCATTTCGTGTCTCCACGCTTGACTTGTCTTGTATTTCTATTTGCGGTGCACGGGGCAGCATCTTCCTGCTCAGGAGGTTTGTTAATTATGATTTTCACTTGTGTAACCACTGCTTTGACTCGCTGTTATCTTGAGCCGTTAATACAATAGTTGTGTGGTGAGTGTTTATCTACCACAGGGAATGTAGTGATATTAGATCTCCAGTAAAAATAACAATTGATTTAAGCTTCTTTTCTAATTGATTGTAGGTTTTTAATCAGACTCTTTTTCAACTGGGTTCTTTTTGGACATTTACATAATAACTGATTATGTAATTTGGAGCATTAGCTTTTGTGGGAGTTCAAGTTGTCGTCATCCTGTTTAAAATGAGGTGCCATACTTCTGCCAAGTGAGGGTTGGTTTGTTAAATGGAAGATGAATTAAATATAAAACTGATCACACTAGAGAACCGACCATGAGATGTTTTAAATTAAGGTAGATGAAGATTTTAGCCTGTCTAGTTTAATAACTATATATACGTTTCTATCTATAATGAGGTAAATCTGAGTTTGTGTTTTTGACTTTGAAAACAAACTGATGACAGATACATGTTTAGATGCAAATCTACAACCACAGAGACAGAAACAGGTTTTGGTTTGGATCTGTCACGTCTCAATAGATTCCACATGGAGGGAAAGTGGTGTTTTGTCGATTTGGTGACCTGCATGTTGTCGTCAGTTGTCTGAGGATGTTCCCGAGACATCATGTGTGAGGGACAGAGGACAACCTGTGAAATAGTGAGGTTGTTGTTTTTCCTTTTTTTTTTCTTGTTTTTGAAACCTTCTCTAACGTGCTGGCTGATGAAAGGGTTAAACGCTGCTGTCCCTCTCTGAAAAGACGAGATGATGGTGTCTGACAAGGTGTGAAAAAAGAGGCCGTGTAGGAACAGAGAGTCTGAAGGGCAGCCGGAGTGTCGAATATCTGTCGATGCAGAGGAGAACACACGCAGGGGAAGACTCCACATCCTCGCCAGAAGATTTATGATGTTGGAAATGACGGAAAACATCCACTGCTCTCGTCTCCCAACAGAAATAATCGAATTTTCTATCTCTCATTCTGTGTCCATGAATTTACAGAGATAAACAAAGATGACGTTATTGAAATATTTATGGAATAATCCATCTACCAGATGTAATATGGACAAATAGAACATCAATATTTACCATTAAACTGAAAAGGGGGTTGCTGTAAATATCACTTACACAGCACACAGTGTGTTTCTCTCAGTAGAACAGTGTGGGCTTCATGCAGCGTCACCACATGTCAGTGTCTGCTCTGAATCATCACCATGTAGCCGTGGCTCAACCTGAGGCCGAGCACCCTCCCCGTGTGTGTCATGATCCTCCGGGGAATTCAAAATGGAGTCCCGGTGTGCCGCGTCAAGCACGTGGATCAATACTGGATTGAATGGTGAAACATAGTCATCATCATCATCATCATCATCATCATCATCAGTGGGGTTTAGTTTGGGGAATGCAGCAGTTTCAGGTCATTGCTCTGAACACTAGAGGGTGTGTTCCTCATGGACATACTCAAAGAGACGGAGAGGCCACTTGACCGGATGACGTGTTCAACAGTGTGTTGCCAGGGCTGCAAATAACCATTATTTTCACCATCAATTAGCCCGTGTTTGATAAATGGTCTTTGACACGTTAAAAAAATGTTCGTCCCAGTTTCCCAGAGGAAGACTCGGTGAAAGAATCACATCGTTTAGGACGTAAAAAAAAGATCTCAGTCGTCAAAAGCTGATTAATCTCCTGTTTATTTGCTAATGGATTCATCTCCATCAGAACTGCTGTTAAACCATTAGCCTTTCTTTGAGTGATTGCTTCATTCAGAGACTGCGTATCCTTCAGAACTATCATCGGTGACTCATGTGTGGAAAATGACAAGCTGACCATGACTCAACAATTTTCCATGAATTTGCTCCCTGATGATTGTTTTCATCATGGATTCATCTTATTATTATCATTATTATTATTATTATTATTATTATTATTATTATTATTAGATTTCCAAGGGACCCAACTGACACTTTCAATTTTCTTTCACCACCTAAAACCAAAAAATATAGCTAATAATTTTCTTAACCAACAAAACCTCAAATAATAAGAAGGTGGAACTTGTGATTTTTAAATGACAGTGAATTATCATTTGACAAATTGTTTTTTGCTACTAAATTGCTACAATCAACAGATAATAGACAATGAACATGTCTGAAACAATCCCGGCATCAGGGGGTTGTGCAATGGATTCAAACCCATTTGCTTAAATTACCTGGTGCTTTAATATTTTAACAAAATGACTATCTTTAGCGGAAAGAGTATTTTAAGAAAAGCATGTTGCATTCTCACATCAAAATTAAGCTCAAAGCCTGAAGTGAGTTGAGTTCATTGACTTTCACTTACTGTCAAAAGATTTTTACCTTGAAAAAGACATTTAAATGAAACCCTGCTGTGAACAACTTACTACCTTTCTGAGGTTTATTATCCCTTATTCTGAACTGGAGTTAATGTTCCTGGTGCGGTTGTTTTTTAGTACATTACATTAGCTAATACCCCCCCACCCACTAATTCCAGTTATATGGTTCTGTTTAAAGTTTTGTTTCGTGGTGTGGGTGAGCTGTATGTGTTGAATTCTGTGTGGGCTGTACACCGTTAAAATGTGGAATGTGTTAGTGGCAGCAGAAAGGTTGCACTTTTTAAAACAAATGCTGAAAATGTACATTATCTTTACACCAGAGTGACTTCCATGGTTCAATGCATAATCATCATTTACTGTATTTGAAGAACGTCAACAAATATATTCAAGGTCATCAGTTGATTCTGGTTTATGATTCCGTCAACATTAGTTCCTCAGCACACTTGTTGTCTATCATTGTTCTGCTTCTTCATAGCAGAACAGTAATAGAATTAAATATTCCGCCTCTCACAGTTGACTAATCTCCCGTTGATCGTGAAAGTTCAAAATAAAATTCTACTAATCTCTAAACGTTTTATTCTCTGTAAAGATAATTGGTGTTGTGACACTGTCGGGCTGATTTGCATCTAAGAGCAGTTCAGCAGCACTCAACTCTCACTTGAAGCCGGACGGACTGACAGCTTCCTCTCGTGTGTTTCTCTCCACAGGTGATCTCCTGCAGGGGACCAACAGCTCTCTCTCAGGTTTATGGAAACCTGACCTCCCATTGGTGGAGAAGGTGAGTTGTTTTTCTTGTTTGTGTCGTCTCACGTTACAAATCTTTTTTCCCTCGACTTAATTTTGTCTGAAGTTGCACAGGTAAAAAATATCAGGCTTTAGCACAGACCCAAATACTTTTGTTTTGAATATTATGCTACACACACCACTTAAGGTAATTAATAGCTGTTTGCCAGTGCTGTTAATATTTAATGACGGTGTTCCAGTCTGACCGTGGGTAAACTAGCAGGGGTCAAGTTTGGTTCTTATTGGAGACGTGTATTTCAGATTGCTCTTCGTGTTCTCTGCCTTGTGCATGAGCAGGTGCAACATTACATATGGGATTACAGAGCCGTCCGAGGGTTGCATTTCAGCTTTCTAGCTAGTTGATTGAATCTACTGATCTGATGTCTCTAAGGTAGCGACAGCATTTTCACTCTGATGCCCCTTTTTCGACCAAGACTTGACTCAACTTGTACATCTTATTATTTAGAGCTGGAGCCAGTCCCAGCTGATGGTATACATCATTCACACTCAGGTTTACACCTACGATCAATTCAGAGTCTCCAATTTCCACCTTTGGATGGTGGCAGGGCGCCGGAGTACCTGGAGAAAACCCATTCAGACACATATTAGACCTGGGTCTTATTGTCCAGTTGTACTCTCATATATTTTGTTTTTTGGAGATTATCTCATAATCTTCTTTGATTATCTCTCGAGTCTCTAAGAGCAGCTGCTGCTGTCTCTCGGAGAAGAATGACAACGCAGGGGTAGTTATTGATTCTCTGGTTTGATCTCTTCATTTTGTGTGACTCATGACGGAACCTCGATGCAGCAGGGAGGTTAAGTAACTGTCTGAAGGAGGCTCATCAGAACATCATGGCCCAGTTCAGAAAGGCCTCTCGAGGGATCCTGTGCAGTTCAGCCTGGGAAGGGAAGCTGGGTCAGAGAAATATAGACGAGTATAAACAAAGAACGTGTATGTATTTGAAAGAAACTGAGGGAAACACAGTTTAAAAGAAAACAAGATCACCGTCAGCAACATGATACCTGTTAGTCTTTTTATTTTGTGAAACCCTCTCTGGCTTCTATCATCTGTATTATTCTGCTGTATTTTCAAATACAGACCTCTGTTGACTAAGAGGGAGGACGATTGTGAATTAGAATGAGTTTGTTGCTGCAGGAATAAATAATAGCATAAACAATCTGTATCTGTGCTCAGCCACACTCTGCTGCGTGAATGTAGGATCGCAATCTAATTTAATCGTTAAATGTTGAATTTAATCTAATTTGTTAAAGTCAGTGAAAGTGATTCCTCCCGGTGCCAGATGAGGAGGTCGCCCAAGCTTCCCTGCTTGTTTATGCCTTCAGGATGGTTTTGCCAACACTTGCATAGAAACATTCACACCATACTTATTTATTTTATCTGCTTCTTTATTTGACAACTAACAGCAGTAGTTTGGCTCATAGTTAGTATCCATCCATCACTCTGCAAGCCAAACTGGCAACGTTGGTTCGGGCTGCCTCAAATAAATACCACACGTGTGTGCCAATTCTAAGAACATAATAAGGATCCAAATAAAAGTTTCAAAATATCTATCGCCTGCTGTTCTTTTAAATTCAAGTCAAAATGCTTGTTTGCTTTGAGTTGACTCGCCTGCCGGTCCAACCCCTTGATTTTTGTAACTTTGAAAGATTTGAGCGTCAGGTCTTTGGTCTCCCGCTCTGTCTCTTATCACACGGTGGAATCAGTCACTCACTCTTCCTAAACGGCCTCCGGGTATTAGAGGAGGGTATAAATAGGGACGTAAGGTGATTATGGTCTGGACATTGTTGATGCATCTCTGGGCAAACTGGTGCTGTTGCTCGTGTTCTCCGGTCAGTTTCCTGTCATAGTGATGGTACAGTCAGATCTTCATTGCAACGACACAATATACAGCACAACACCAATTTACTTTTCTTACAGTATATATCTATCAGCATTGTTTAAAGGCTATGGGCCATTCATGGTCCCTATAGGATGAACCATAATGAATGTAGTGATTCTGAGCCACCATGAGATTGATATTTAACATTCTTGACAATTTCTGGCTGGATTGCCATGAATGCTGATTGTGATAGATGTTCTTTCCCTCTCTTCTATCCTCTCATGTACTAATAAAAGCAAAGGTAGATTTTTATCAAGCTTCCAAATGTTAGGTTCATTCAATCATTGCATTTAGCTGAAACATTTCATTTCAAAAGAACCAGTAGAGGTTCTGTTCTGCTGTTGATGGGTAATGACTCTTTAAAACCTCCCATCTATTATTTATATAATAATACACAGTGAATGAGTCTTTTTGATATTTGCAATGTTTATATTCTTTTCAGTCACAATCATTTGTAGCATCGTCTCCCTCTCTGTGACTCCACCTCTCACTCTCCCTGCTTTTCGAGAATATTCACACACACGATGCATTTGGAGGAGGCCCATCAGTATTCAGTGCAGCATCACACCGCTCAGCAGTAAGAAGGCGGAACGCTGTTGTGTTTGAAGAGCAACATTCTCGGATTGACTGTTGCTTTGCTCATGTACTCCCTCCCTTGCTCCTCGGCTCCTCTCCGCCTGGACATCAGGAAAATCTGGACTGGAACCAGGGCCTCCATCCTCTCTGCTCCATCTCACAGCCACTGCTGCATTCCTGCAGTTCATTCCTCCATCACCTCCCCATCACTGCCTCCTCTGCTCTACTCTGCCTCTCCTGTCCATCTCTCTCTGCCCTCCCCCTGCAGTTTCCCCCGTCTCCACCACACTGTCACCAGGAGGCTTGTGGCAAGAGGCTTGATAGTTACATAACCACTGCAGCAGCGCTCAGGACACTGTGTTAAATCACAACTCTGTTCTGTGTGTGTGTGTGTGTGTGTGTGT